TTGCTTTCTGGCGAAAAAGCTTTAAATCATTAGGTCTGAGATCCATAAGCTTAAGCTTGGGGATATACTTATCAGCAATTCAAATGTTATTCTTCTTTTGCAGATTCTGGGGTCCATGCCTGCCAGGGACCTCATTATTCCGCACCCTGTTAAATGGCCATCATTCCGTTCCGGTGGTCTCGGTATAGTACCCCTTAGCGAAATGATTGCCTGGGCTGTTCGAATAAGCAGTCTTATAAAAATCGATAGTTTCTGGCGTGATCAAAACCTAAGAATCAGAATGGAATTGCTTTCTGGCGAAAAAGCTTTAAGTAATCAGGTTTGAGATCCATAGGCCTAAGGCTTGGGACATAATTATCTGCAATTCAAATGTTAGTCTTCTTTTGCAGATACTTAATTAGGGGTTCGGTTGCTTAGACTGGCTGGCGTCTATGGCTTTCGAAAATATTCCGTTCCTGTGTTGTTATTAATCCGCTCAGGTCGATTTAGCTCTAATAGTACCCATTTAAATCAGTCCGTTCAGGCCTGATTTAGCTCTAATACGACCCCCTTTACTAATCCGAAGTTAGCACTATTATACTAGTAGTAGTAGTAGTAGCAGCAGCAGCAGTAGTAGTAGTAGGAGTAATAACTGTAGTAGTAGTAGTAGTAGTAGTAGGAGGAGGAGGAGGAGTAATAGGAGTAGTAGGAAAAGGAGGAGGTATCCGCCGCGGAAAAAACCTACCACTAAACATCCTTCAGGTGTCTCATGACGCTCTTACGGGGTTACCAAAAAAATGACGTTCAAGATGATGATGATGATGATGTTACATAATGAATGTAACAGCCATGATGTTGAATAGCTGCGAATAAGCATGACGTTGATAAGCGTCATGGGCGAGAGTTGTGCGGAAAGAAGGTGAAACCGAGAGCCTGTTGCGGCATATGTCCAATATGCTGGCAAGCGCAGCATTTCGGGGCTTGCTGTTAAGGAGCTGCGGACAGAAGGGCCCCAGAACCATTCAAAAAAAATTGCTCTCGCAGGAAGGGGTTTCGCGGCGCTCCCCAGGCAAACCTTGTTCATGACTGCCACGGGTGGCACTAATGTCAGGCAGCAGACAAATGGTCAGCAGCATCGACAGTCCTGCGCTGGCATCTGTCCTGACACGCTGGGGGGGGTAAGCCGTGAAAACCCGTTGCCATGACCGATGGTGTTTTTCTAACGTTTGATCCCTTGTTTCGAGCATCTCCTCATCAGCAAACCTCCAAAATACTGCGCTTGCTAGCGATTCAGACCCTAGAGGCTCTGCGTTTTACATTCTTTCCGAGTAAAGGTTAGGTCGTTTTTCTTGGTGCGAATGCGTCGTCGCAGGAGTGGAAGAAAAAGAAGAAGAAGTAGTAGTAGTAGTAGTAGTAGTAATAGTAGTAGTAGCAGCAGTAGTAGTAGTAGGAGGAGGAGGGGGAGGAGCAGTAGTAGTAGTGGTCGTCCTCGCAATGGCAGTAGCAATAGCAATGGCAATAGTAGATGTATTATTATTCTTAGTAGTAGAAGCAGTAGCAATACTACCCTTATTAAGAGTACCAGGTGCTCACCTGCATCGTGGTAAAAGCGTGTAAAGCATGTTCCATTCCCGAGCGGCCTTGGCAGGAGACGCTTCGAGAGGCTTCCGGGTCATGCTGCCATGGATGTGCTAAAACAACCAGGAGGGTTCTGTAGCCTGGTAGCTGTGTAGATTTAAGGTCTAGGGTCTGGGGCTCCTAGAATCCTATTACAATTCGACGTGTAGACATTTTGCCCAAG